TTTAGCCAAATGACCTCTTTTGCAGCTTCATTTGCTGCAACTATCTCAGCTTCTGTAGTTGATGTTGCAACCATGGCTTGGCGTTGGCTCAACCTGCATACAAACATATTACTCCATTGATCTGCCTGTTTGAATACATACACCAAAGTCAGCATCACTAAAACAGTCTAAAATTCCTGGTTTATAGCCTGATTTATAAACGACGCATTTTTGCTTGGAGTTTGCAATGTATCCAAATACACACTTAACCCTGATCCAGTCTTCATTAGAGGGATTTTCTAACTTACGTGACAAAACACTAATAGAGTATGCCAAGTCAGGTCTTGTCCCCATCATCAAATACATGAATGCTCCCACAGCTTCATGGTAAGGGATATCTGTTTCATTAACTTCTTCTGCATAAACTACTTTATCTTTCAAAATGGGTGTATGAACTGATCTGCAGTCCCTCATGCCAAACCTCTGAAGGATCTTTGTGGCATATGCTTCTTGCTCTATCTTAATACTTCCATCTTCAAGATGCTGTATTTCTAGTCCTAAGAAATATGAAGCTGGCTTGCTGGTGATGTTAAACTTTAACTTCAACTGGTCTATAAAGTTTCTGGAATCTTCTTCATCAGTAGCAGTGATCAGTCATCATCCATGTAGAGTGCTATGAGAAGCTTCTTACCGTTTTCTTCTCGAATGAATAGACATGGGTCTGCTTCACTGACCTTAAAACCCAAGGTCCACCAGGAATTTTTCGAAACATTTATGCCAGCATCGAGGAGCTTGTTTTAGCCCATAAAAGCTTTTCTTGAGTCTGCATACTTTATTGGTACCACTGTTATATCCTTCAGGCTGATTCCTCTAGATCACCGTACAAGAAGGCAATCGAAACATCAAATTGCATAAGATGCATATTCTCACTAGCTGCAATGCTTATGAGTGAACACACAGTTTCTAGCTTTGTGACTGGACTGAAGGTTTGATCATAATCAATACCTTGTCTCTGATTGAAGCCTTTAATCATTAATTTAATTAATTTTTTGAAGTCTTGCTTTGTACTTATCCACGGTGTACTTATCCACGGTGTATCCACGGTATTTAATTAATTTTTTGAAGTCTTGCTTTGTACTTATCCACGATGTAATCTGGATTTTTCTTGATTCGAAAGACCCATTTGCAAGGAAGAACTTTTACTTCATCTGGAAGAGTTTCTAGTGTCCAGGTGTCATTTTCCTTCAAGGAGCCAATCTCAGAATCCATGGCCTTTTTCCAGAAATCCTGTTCTTTACAATTAATGGCTTCTTTGTATGACTGTGGTTCATACACATCACACATAAAAACTTCAGATGCCATCACATAATCTTCAAAACGTTTAGGCCTTTTTATTGCACTGCGCTTTCTTAAGTTCATAGCAGGCGATTCTTTTTCATCTTCATTTTCACTTCCAGAACTTGTTTGATCTTCTGAATCTTTTTGATCTTGCTTCCCCTCATTTTCAGCTTCAGGTAACTGTATTTTAGTTTCAGGCAAAGGTATTTCTATTGGAGCTTCACAATATTTCAGAGGTTTTTCTTGAAATACTACATCTCATGAGCAGATAAAAGTACTGGTTTCTTTTATCCAGATGCAATATCGTTCATTTCCATCATATCCTAGTAGGTAAGCCTTTATGGCTTTCTTATCCATTTTTCTGTGTCTCTGATCTGGTATGTGAGCAAAACTATACGCATATGTCTTATTCTAGGTTTTTGTCCCATCCAAGATACATAAGGACTTATATTTGATAATGACCTTTTCCCTGATCTGTTTAAAATATAGACAGATGTACTAATAAATTCAGCCCATAATGTGAGGGAAAATTAACTTCAGAATTAGAATTCTTCAAAGTTTTTGCCATTTCTACCAAGGTTCTGTTTTCTTGCTCACTCACATTGTTTTGCTGTGGGGTAAGGGGGCAGTTAATCTTTGAAGAATTCCATTTTGTCTCAGAATAAGCCTAACATTTTCATTACAAAACATTGGCGCTTAACAACTCTTTGATGGTATGTCCTAAGTTTTTTGTATGTGTTAGTATATTTTCAACTGCCTCTGCAACTTCTGTTTTGCGGCGAAGGAAACACACATACCTAAATTTGGTGAAATGATCCTTGAAGACTACAAAATAAGGATACCTTTTGAAGGATTCATCAAACGGTCTGCAAACATCCATTGAGATAAGTTCTCCGGGCTTTGTTTTCTTCTCTCTGTTGCCAAATTTTAGACGATGTGTTTTCCCACAGGGTTCACAGAGTTGACTGTCTAGTTTAATCCTGATACCCATCTGTTCTTCAAGAACATTCTTAATATGATGTTTGTCCTGGTCACCCCAGCGTTCATGGTATAACTGCAGAGTTGAATCACTCATGACAGCTATGTTGATTTCTACTGGGTTATTCGGAACAAGTACTTCCATATGAATTTTATACAGAACACCACTTATGCTTCTTGTACCACAGAGTACAAAATCATTGTTGATTTTCAACAACATTCTTCTGCGGTTGATTCAAATCTACTATTTTTGTTTTTATCTTGAGCAGCCAGTACGGAGAATAAATTCTTACTAATATCTAGAACAAACCAAACTTCTTTAAGTTCTTTGAATTGTTTTTCTCCTTTTATTGTCGTTGTTATCTTTTATTGTTCCTTTACCTACAGCTGGTAGTATTTTGCCATTTGCAGCAGTAATTCCATGTGGTGTTTCAAATTTTTCAAATTCTGTGAAGTAATCACTATTATCAGTAATGTGCTTTGAAGCACGATTATCCACAAACCACTCATAGCAATTCTTTTCAGATGAGAAAGCTTCTTCATCCAGAGCTAATAAGGACATATTTGCTATAACACCATCTTTTCTTGAGACTATTATTTTGACTGGGCTTCGGTGGTCTTCCATCTTCTACCCATTTTTGACAAAATCTAATCCAATGTCCACTCTGGTGGCAATAGTTGCATTTTCCTATCTGCTTTTTACCTTTGAAATTTCTTTTTATTTTGCTTGCTTTAGCTTCTAATGCATCTTGATTTTGGGCATCAGCTTTAGATTTTTCTTCTTTATATTCTCTTTCTTGAGAGGATAATTGAGTAGTTAACTCATTTATTGTTCTTTTCTCTTCATTAAGAAGCAGCCAACTTGACTTAAAAGAACAGTACTCTTGAGGTAGTGTGTCTAAAATTTTGCAAAATAATAACATCTGAGGCAGTTGGGTTTCTTGCTTTCTTTGAAGACCTAAATTTAATTCATTCCAAAGATTCTTCAGCTTTGATAGATGGGCAGCCATACTATCATTCCTTGCCCACTTACACTGGAAAAATTGTAGACAAATATTATATAACTGATTGTCAGATGTTGCTTAAAAAAAGTTTATGAAGTTCTAGCCATACCTCTCTAACAGTATCAAATCTCATAATTTTCTGCATGGTTTCTTCTGTCATAGAATTTGTCAGTACCATCATGGCACAAGAGTTGGCCTTTACATATCGTGAAAGATCATATGAGTATTTCTTCAATGTTGCTTCAACAGCTCCTTCAGGTGGCTGATCTGGTTTAACTATTTTTCCTTCAAACACTTCCAAGGAGTCGTTATAGTAGTTTAAAGCGAACTTGATTCTATACTTCCACATCGGCCAATTCAATTCTCCACTTAATGGCTTCAACTGCAACTTTCCTACCTCCATTATTTACTCTTAGCATTTCTGTAACGTTCTTCACTTTTAACAAAAAAAAAAAAAAAAAGAGAGAGATAAACACTTGAATATTTAATCCACTTCAATCAAATACTTCCCTTTAGGGCTTTCTTTAAACAAAATATGATTTCAGGACTTGAATAAAATGAGGAGAAAAAACTTTGCTGTTCTTGCTGATCGCATGGTTAGGGTTAACGCTATTCTCTTAACATTATAAAACCTTCTGCATTAAAAATAAAACTCTACTATCATTTCTGCGCATGTAGCATGCATAAAACCCATAACCTATTGCATTTTAAGATTAAATATGCTAAAACTGAAGAAGAATCTTACTAAACATTTTTCTAATCCATGCTTTTAATGCAAGTTAAGTTATATGACAAGGTCAACAACAAATCGCTCAACTAAGCTTCTCAAAGTAGAAGTTGAAGTAGATGAGATGTTGCCAAACAAATATATAAAATAAAAAATGACAGTATCTTGTTTTTTCTTTTGCAACATAAATAACTTCAACAGTTTTTAACTACAGTACAAAGTCCATAATCCGGACTCGTCAGGACTTCGGCGATTCCGGATTAGGGGTTTTCCCGGATTATAGATCATCAGTTTAAATCTGGTAAGATGGCATGCAGAAATTATAAAATTTAAAATATGAAACCGTAATTTATGAAATACAGAGCAATTATGATCTAAAGGGAATCAAAATTTACAAAAAAAAAAGCTTAATATTTATTTTTTTACTTTATTAAACATTTCTTTCAATGCAAGTTGTTTAAGTTGCTTCATTTTTTGTGTTAATATTTTCTCTTTAATTGCTTCATTTTTTTTGTGTTAATATTTTCTCTTTAATTCTACAAATAGACATAATTTCTTGTTTAGTTACAAAATTCCACTGTTCAAGTCCTGTAATTGCTGTGTCGAGAATACCGACTAACTTGTCAATCAAAATTTTTTCATTTTCAATAACGTTCTCTGTTAACTTTCTTCACTATCGGAAGTACGCATTGGTAAACGCTTTACTGGCTTTACGCGCATGCGTAGCGGACGCGCGCATCACTTGTGCATGCTTAAGTTTGTGGCTTTGAGGTCCAGATTATAGATCATTCTGGATAATGGACGTCCGGATTAGAGACTTTGTACTTTACTTCCTTTACTTCTTACAAGGAAGTAAAGAAATTCGCTAATGCTAATTTTTTGTACATTTTACAATAACCACTAAATAATGCTATTCGATTAAAATTTTTCCAATCAATTTCAACAAAATTGATTTAAAATGCAATTCTGCTTACCTTCTACTACAATCCTTGCTGAAACTGCTATGCTAGATTCATTAGTAGTAGCAATACATTGATACACTCCAGCATCACTTTTTTGTACATTCTTTATAGTAAGTGAACCAGTAGAAGAAACATAGTACCGAAAAATTTGTGGTAAAGCAATTCCATTTTGAGTCCAGTGTATAACAGGCTCAGAATCTCCAGCTGCACTGCAAGGTAAAATTATTGTTGATCCAACAGGAACTGTGCTATCAGTAGGTTGTTCAGTAAAAGAAAGAATACCTGAAAACGTGAAAGATTAAAAATATTAGAACAGTGAGAATCTTATTTATTTTTTGCAAATCAATATCATAAAAATTTTGAAAGTATTTAATTACATAACGTATGGTACTGTATATACCATAATTTCAAGTAGATAAGCTGTGGCATCTACATGCTTTTTAAAGTTGAAAATTTAGGTCTGCGATATATCTGCCAGGGTGGTGCATCTGATAGAATTTTATTTCCCTCTGCCTTTAGAACTCTGCTAATTTAGATTGTAATTACGCACAAGTGAAACAGTTAATGTAGAATTTGCTGTGACATTTTAGCCTGATATGAGTGCTCAGACTGCACTCAGGCAATGCAACAAATTTGAACCCTCGTGTAACTTGCCTTACAGTGGTAAGGTTTACTCGGTGTAAAGACACCATAATGCATGTACTTTCTGCTGAACTAAATGTTTTTGTCTGCATTTTCCAATGACCATCTTCTTTCATCATCTTTTCCGATGACCATCTTCTAACAGCCTGGTTATTTCACCAGTTTCTGTGTCCATTCTTACACATATTTCACTGCTGTGTGGCTTGCTTTTAGATTACTTGTTGTAGTTCTTAATTTATCATATGCATTTGTTAAATTTTTTAAATTATTGTAATTATTATGGCTCCTACTTGAAGAAAAAATTGTACAGCTGCTTTAAAGATTTTGTAGTGAGAAGAGTAATAGAAATTTGAAAGCAAACTGCAGCTAGAGAATTTCAAATTGATGAGAGATGCTTTCGGGTTGGGGGGGGGGAAATCTGAACTAAAAGAATTAGAGAAACTGCCTAAGAGTAAATGATCTTGTCAGACTGGTGTCCTAGCTTTGTGGAAGACAGTTTAGATAAACGGATAACAGAGCAGAGATAAAAGGGAGTATCAGTGTCAACAATTAGAATTCGCCTTCAAGTAAAAGTAACTGCTCCACAAATAGGCATTAAAATCTTTTTTGAGGACTTAACTGGTGTTTCCGTTTCATGAATGAAAGAAATTATCTTTTAGGATCAAAAATAACAGTTGGACAGAAGCTTTCCCTGAACTGGCTTAAAAAAGATAGCTTGTTTGGAATAAACATCTAAGAAAATTAAAGAACAAAATTTGAATAGAGAGCAAACAATTAAATATGGATGAAGTGCCTATTACTTTTGACTGTACTATGAGCAAAACTGTTCATTCTACAGGAGAAAAAACAATTTCTGTGTTAACTGGGAATGAAAAGCCTTCTTTTACTTACTTTTTGGGGTTGTGCCACCAATGGAGAAAAGTTAACCTGCTTTGATAATTTTCAAAAGAAAAACAGTTCTGAAAGAGAACTTTTCTAAAGGGGTCATTATTTGTGCCAATGGAAATGGACAGATGTGCAAAGAAGTGATGTAGTTTTAGCTGACAAAAATTTATCAAAAAAGGAAAGGTGCTTATTTCAAACATTAGGGACCCATTATTCTGCATTCAATATGGTCCCATTTAGTGGATACAGTAAAATCCAAAGCAATTAAACTTTATCACTGATGTCTCAGTGATACAATGTGAGCTTAAAAAAATTACAGTTACTGGATCTCACTATCAATAAAATTTTTAGGCACAAACTAAAAGTGGACTCCATTCCTTTACAAATTCAGGACCAATGATAAAAGCTATATAAGAGGAGGTTGTCTTGTGAGTCAATAAAGCACGGCAATCAGTCCGAGTTGAAACAATAAGATTGCCTCTCATTAAATCTAAAATCAACGAAACAGGAAATAAAGATAGTGATATTGAAAGAAGTTATTTAGAACAGAGCGATGAAAGTGACCTTGATGGTAATTTGTTCAGTTATTTAATTCTGACATTGATAAGTCAGATTTTGAAGATTTTATATAAATAAGTATGGTTTATTTTAACTATACAATTCTGTTTGATTACCTAATTTGTGCATTCCTTTTCATAATATTATAATTTATGGCAACAAAAAATTACTGAATAAATGAATATTAAGTGGCATGTTTTGGAATGCTTTGCTACAGCATATAGAGCACTGTGGTTTATCCAAGGAACTTTCATTTTTTAGTCAATTATCATGTGTGTGGCACATATGCCAAGGTGGTAAAAATTATGGTATACATATATACATTTCATTAATAAGATAATAGTATGTACTAAATTTATTTATTTATCTTAGAGCTCATAATTCAGCTATGGCTAATACCTCATTTTCAAAACAGCTGATTCATGCAAATACTATGTATACTTCCTATAAAATCTTTGTAAAGTAGATATTCAACAACTCAGTTATCACTTCTTCAACCTGAATAGCAACGATAAGCCAGAAATATGAAATTTCTGTAGATCAAAGAATTGTTTTGATAAGAGAAATCAGTGGAAAATGATTTTAACCTAAGAACAAAATAATGAAAATAGCAATGCTGCTTACAATTAGTTTCTAAAATACAGAATAACTATTTAATCTCATAAACTCTGAAAGAGTTCAAAGAAAGGTTTCATGAAACACTTTTCTTTAAGTCTACTTAGCTGAAAAATAGAGCAAAATTAAATCATAAAAACAATAATTATAGATACATAATTGGGAAAAAAAAGTGGGAATCTGCAAGAAATATTGTGAATTAAAAGGAATTGATCAAAGATGATAATTCTTTTTGGTCCATATTTTGCATTAGCTGCTGCATATAGTTATGATAAATTAAACAGTTTTGCAGCCTTTAAGGAAGCACCGTGAGCAAAGGGGAGAAACATACTAGAATGTTTTACAGTATAAAGACTTTAATCCGGACTCGTCGGGACTTCGACAATTCTGGATTAGAGGTTTTTCTGGATTATAGATCACCACTTTAATTCTGGTAAGATGACATGCAGAAATTATAAAATTAAAAATATGAAACCGTAATTTATGAAATAAAGAGCAATTATGATCTAAAGGGTATCAAAATTTACAAAAAAAAAAAGCTTAATATTTATTTGTTTACTTTATTAAACATTTCTTTCAACGTGCGCATACGTAAAGCATACATTACGCATAGTCGAAATTAGAAAATTGCAACCAGAAAACTATTTGATGTGTATTCGTGATATTTATAATGACGAGGAATTTGATTTAAATCAGATCAAAGATGGAGTACAACGAGATGAAATACTACATTTAGTAAGGAATTATAAGCCGAATAAAATAAAAACATCTGCCTTGAAGATGAGGATCGTGCTAACAGATCAACTTCCAGTTCACTGCGAGCTGCAACGTCCCCCCCCATCTGTAATAAATAAATAGTGATTTGTTAATCGCAGATTTCATCCCCTAATTACCTTGGTTTCATTGTATATGTAATAAATTTTAGAGTGTAATACAAATTATTAAAGCAATGATGTACATAAAATTGTAAGTACATAATGAAAACGTAAATTATATTAACTAAATAAATCATTCCTTTTACTTTGCATGCTTTTTGAGAGAAAAATAAATAAAAATTGATAAAATCTTTAAGAAGTACAAAAGAAAATATAAAACATCGTTTCAGATGGAAAATTCATAAATTTATTTTGTTTATCCAGTTTTCCTAAAGTTTAATATTTATTATTGTTGCATGCATATGGGTACAATAGACTGAATGCACAAGTCCGATAATAGGTTAATAAAAATTTATTTTTATTAAAAGAAATATTTCTACAAGTGTTCACAGTGTCACACAGTATAATCACAGTAGTTACACTCCAAACTACTATGAACGCTAAACTCAATGCAGTGCTAAGTGCATTAAAAGAAAAAGCTAACTCAGATATCTTAGTTCATGCAGAACTAAACAATTTAGAACAACAATAACTAAGCAACTCAGAGCAGATGCTCTCTCTTCGGCCTTAAAATAGATTTCAACTGGCTGCCGAGATATTTCTAGAACTTTCTGCTTTTCAAAATTACTGGAAAGCAATATGAGGGTAGAATTATGATTACAGCTAACATAATGGTCAGTTACATTAATTCAATTTTAATACATATTAAAGTGATACAGGGAAAGGACCAAATGCTGCCAAAACTGTTATCAGCAAGGCGATATCTCGCCAAATTTCCCCTGTATTCTTACTTTTCTGGCATAGCTTTCTCTTAAAATTTGTCTCAGAAAAATACAACAATTTTACTTATAATTTTACTAAAATTACATATCTAAGTACAAAATTCATAACATTATTATTATTATTAAAAAAGTAAATGAAACATTTTGTCTTTATATATATATATATATATACAATAGTTACATACATATAATTATATAAAACAAATATATAATATTTTCCAGAAAACAGTTTTGCAATCGGTTGATCTTTACATTATGGTAACTTGGTGATTTTTTGGCGAAAATTTGGCAACCAACTCTCCTACAGCAACCCTCTATTTTTTTCCCCCGCCACCATTTTGTCTTCACGAAGTAAAGACATGTTTCTTTTCTTTTTATCTACTGAACACTTCTTCCAACAATCTACTAGCCGAATTACACTTATGCTAGAAATTTTATCAAACAAAACTGCTTAATCATGACAAATATTCACTGCAAAATTGGGAAAAAGTGCACAATACCATACTCCTTACGCGTTTTTTCAAAATAAACACATACACATAAACCATGTACACGCCGACTTATTTTTACTTAAAAAAAAACATCCCAGAATTGCACACCAAAATGGCATTGCGCACACTCTTCACTATATCCATGTACACTGCTTTTTTCTCATAAATTAGAAAATTTTCACGAAAATACATGACAATTTTCTCAATCTTTAAACCCGGTAAAAAGAACATATATGAAATTACCTGATCGCGAAAAAGTATTTACCTTTTCCAAATATGAACATTTCCCCACATATAAAATAATAAAATATCCAAAAACTTTTTACCTCTAAATCATCTATTACATTATACACGTCACCAACGAATTCATACCGCAAGCATTACGAATACTTAGTATCAAATATTTTAAATTATTTCCATGCATGTTTACTTCAACTTAAACGTATACCAAAATTCCTACAAAACATAAAATTCACAAAATAACTATCATTTAATTAAAATATCACTAAACCATGTACACGTCGACTTATTTTTACTTAAAAAAAATCCCAGAATTGCACAAAAATGGCATTGCGCACACTCTTCACTATATCCATATACACTGCTTTTTTTTCATAAATTAGAAAAATTTCACGAAAATACATGACAATTTTCTCAATCTTTAAACCCGGTAAAAAGAACATATATGAAGTTACCTGATCGCGAAAAAGTATTTACCCTTTCCAAATATGAACATTTCCACATATAAAATAAATAAAATATCCAAAAAATTTTACCTCTAAATCATCTATTATATTATAAACGTCACCAACGAATTCACACCGCAACCATTACCAATACTTAGTGTCAGATATTTAAATTATTTCCATGCACGTTTACTTCAACTAAAACATATACCAAATTCCTACAAACATAAAATTCACAAAATAACTATCATTTCATTAAAATATAATTAAATTCAAAAACACTACTTAAAGTATAAATGAGCACATACATTAAATTAATAAAAATTACCTTACAATCCTAATTACTTTAAACTAAATCATTGCTAATAACAATTTTCCCAATAATACCAAATTCCTTTCCACCTTACATTTAGAACAATGCATAAAAATAATATCCTCAAATAATTAAAATACTAACTTACCTAATCTTCTTCAGAACATTGATTACGTGGCGGATACACTTTTCTAATTCATTCAATAAAATTATTGAAAGATTTTTTCTGCGAATTTTTCCTCCATACTTCCTCCGCTAAATAAAAAGCAAACTTCTCTTTATCACAATGCCTAAATACCCATTTCGAATTCACTTTAGTTAGGGCCATGGGATCCAAAAATTAACCAACACTGTTTCACACAACACAGAATAAAGCTAAATACAAAATTTCCAGATTTTTTCCCGATTTCCCCCTTTTTCCGATCAAAGAACCGTAATTCGTCCGTTAATATCACATGACATATCCCATGATCTCTCATTTCCCTCACGCAAAATAATGCGTAATTGGAACTGAGTACTGCTGACATTATTACCAAAGTCCCAGGTAGTAACCTTTATCACCTCCAAAATGTCGCCAAACTACCAGCTACCATATTGTAAAGATCAACCTTGCAATCTATTTTTTTATGGCTATCAAAATTGTGAATTTTTTACTAATGAAACCTCAACAATTACATTGACTATATTTTAAAAAGCTAAATTATGTCACAAAGTGAATATTTAAATTACCTTTAAGTTTATTTTCCTTTGATTTTAAGTAATGCATTTTAGCTGCACGAGATTTGATTTCACCAGCTGGGCTCTTGGCCATACACTCATAAACACCTTCATCCAAGTCTTGAGCTTCAGTTATCATAAGTGTGCCATCGGTTAGAATACTGTGTCTCTCATCTTGGTCTGGCAATATTTCATTGCTGCAAAATATATAAATACATAAGACACTGAAGAATTTTTTATAGATGCAAATAAAATATTCACCCCCCCCCCAAGATGAAAATTATCATAAAATAAAAAACTTGAATTACAGCAACAAATCTAGTCTAGTAAAAATCACTATGAAAACTAAATATAAAATTAGGTAAAAAAAGCCATAGTGTCAAATTTTAATGCTAACTCAGATTACATAAAGTTGATTAATCTCATTTTTAACTATTATATATTTTAATTTTTTTTTTTTTTTAACAACCCCATAGTGTTTATTAATGAACAATTTTTCACACTCACTGAAAATTCAATACTTAGAAAATGAAATTTGATATTTAATATAAATTTTTTAACAATACAATAAAATCATTTTCGCTACCTGACTTATTTATGAATTTCATTGAATTCTAAAGAATTCATTTATGTTACTCAACCACACAGCTGTACTGCTATATATATAGTTTCAAGAATATCATTAAAATTGGAAACCCATGACAAATATCCATACATTATATGACAGCCTTTTATATGACAAACATTCATGAATTTAATATAATAACAGTGAAAATTTTGGTGAATCTTTATAATATGGTAACTTGGTGATTTTTTGGCAAAAATTTGGTGACCAACCCTGCTACAACAACCTGCTAGCTTTGTTTTGGACGCCATTTTGTTTTCAAGAAGTAAAAGCTTTTTTTTTTTTTTTTTTTTTTTCATATAATGAAAAAAATGTTGAGTAAAAAATCTGCTAGCCGAATTACGCTTATACTAGAACTTTTATGCAACAAAAATGCTTAATCATGACGAAGATTAGGTGCGAAATTGGGAGAAAGTGCAGAATCGCAAACTGCTTGCCGCGTTTTTAAGAATTGCGCATACACGGTATCCATGTACATGTCGACCTATTTTCACTTAAAAAAACAACATCTCAGAATTGCACAAAAATGGCATTGCGTACACTCTTGACTTTATCTATGTACACATCGACCTATTTTCATTTAAAAAGCCAAAGAAAATTGACAAAAATCCAATTCTTCTTACTCTTATAAAAAGCGCCAAACAAATAAGTGGGCGATTCTGCACTTTAGCAGCTAAATTGTTTCTAAGTGCTTATTAGCTAAAATCACAATCGGAATTTTCCGGAAAATGTCACATTACATGTCTCAAAATCTCTCATTTCTCTGAGACAAAAGAATCTGATTCAAACTGTGTAATTTTCAGATTATTGCTAAAGTCCTAGCCTTTATCGCCTTACCAAAATGTCGCCAAACTACCTGTTACTATATTCTAAAGATAAGCCAAAATTTTTGTTTCATATAACATTGCTTATTTTTAAATCTGCAATTTCTATTAAAAAGTAAGTTTTACTGCAGAGTTGATTAGAATTCAAAATTATTAGAAACTAGAAGTCACAAACCTAGTATCTACCTAATCCATAGCTGGCCTTGAGAAGTTTGCTAAATGAAACTTCTTTGATTTTATTAATTATTATCATTTAATTTAGAAGTCAAACAACAAAAATCAAGCCTACTAGTCAGTCATTTTGACTTCTAAATTAATATTTGTTCATCGTGCTATTTTATCTGAATTACCTTTATTATCAGTTATTCAATATTTCGAATTAAAGGAGATATTCAAGCTCTTTAATTATAAAAATTTTACTACCCCTGAATTCTACTGCTCACTGTTTCCTCTAACTTCTAAAAATTTTGTTGCTCAGTGTTTTTCTTAAATTCTAAAGTTTTTGCCACCTGATGTGGCTGTACTGCTGCTGGTAACACTCTAAACTTAAATTCGATAATTACTGAATACTATAATTAACTGGTAATTTGCATCAAATATAATTTTAAAATGCATAAATGAAACAAAAAAAAATTATATCAAAAAATTAATTACCTATTGTGTAACCAAATAATTTCTGGTTTAGGATCACCATCAGCTTTACATGTGAAATATGCAGTTCCCCCAAATGAAATATCTACATCATTAGGCTCTTCTGTAAGTTTTGGTCTTTCTAAAAAATATTTTTCAGTATCACATTTAAAATAGAAATCACAGTAAAAGTGCACTCTAAAAATAAAATAAAACACTTTTTGTTAATTTTATGTCTCTCAAATTGATTTATTAAATGTTCCAACTGCTACAACATTCTGTCACTTCACAGCAAAACCTACTAGATATTAAATATAGATTTATAAAATATATCTATTTCATGAGTCTGCTGATGTAAACAAGAACTGTATCTCGCACTTTATATCAATACTGACTAGCAGCACAATTTACAATACTTTATTATAATAATGAATGAAATGTAATTTATTTTTATTAAGTCTATCTCTTAATAAATTCTCAAATTTCAGTAGTCCTTAGAGAAAAATTTCAGCTTCAGAGAGAGCATGGATTTAATACAATTATAATGAGTTCAGGAAAATAAACATCCAAGATGAGATTAAGAAGAAAAACTGACTATAAAGTGATCATAAAATACAAATTTTAGGGAGGCATATTATTGCGAAATTCACTATTCACATATAAAACTGCAATAGGGATATTATCCTTATAGTATTCTTATTGCAGTTTAAATATATACATTTTTGTAAATTTTTAATATAAATCACTCTATGAAATATTTTAAAGTTTATATATTTACAGAAGTAAATGTCATTAATTTAACAAATGGTAAAATTAAAATATTTCATGATCAAATATTTTGACTGAAGTGAAAAGAAGAATAAGCAAAAAAATTTTTTAATGAAATTATCTTTTCAACATCATTTTGTTCTCATACAAAGAAATATTTTATATATGACACCACTGAAGAAAGAAATGAGTAGTAACACTATCTATTTTGAAAGATGTTCTGTAAGCTTTCTATTTATCAGACTAGGTGGCTACAGAAGAACTTTCTAAATATGTGTGTAAAACTTTAAAAAAAAGTAAATCCAATTACTAACTTAAATTTAAATCCCTTAACTCTCATTGTAATTTGGTTATTTTCCCTTTCCATCATAATAATAGTAATTGCTTATAATAAACTTCTCTAACTTGCATCATATCAAAATTAATCCATGTCATATGATTCCTGCATAATTCATGGTAACTTAAATAACGCTTTAACCAATAACAGTTCCAAATTTGGGAACCGAAACTTAATACTGACCGATAAGGATAAAACTTAAAACAAATCATTCTGAACCAAATTTTAATTTTGGATATTTCTCTTTCACTGTAGTCCTGACAACCTGCTTGGTTTCTGCTCATGTCCTTTCTTTTATTCTATCAAAATTAAATATTATGAAAATTTAGAAAAGGCACAAACATGATCAAGAGCAAGCTTACAGACTACATTAATTGTGATGCGTAGTTATATTAAGAATGTGCTTCTAAAAAATAAACGAAATTTAAATCAGCCACTGCAATTGTAATTTTTACACACCAAGCTCTCTCACTCTGTAAATCATGTTCTCCACAGGGTTGCATCATCAGTCTCTATATTTTTACATATATATTAATAAATAGAAGAAATAATTCCTAAAGTAATACTTTAAATTGTGAAAATAAGGAAATCATCCTTTATTTCAGCATATTGATTCGAACAGAAAACTGTCATCAATATCAATTTCTTTCATTATGAGTACAACTGCTGAAGGGTTTCATTATGATACAACTGCTCATTATGAATACAACTGCAACTCTTTCCATTTAATTTAGCTTTTTAAAAAAATTCACTTGAAGTATTTAGTTCAGTAAAGTTCACTGACTGTTCTTCAATATATTCAAAACAAATTTCATAAAAATTTCTAACATCTTTCAGAAATGTATCCTTAATTACAGGATTAGAATTCTCCAAAGTGGATAGTTTATTCTTTAGCATTAGCAGCACGATCCATCATGGTATCTTGCCCTATATTGTAAAAAAAAAAATAAAATAAATAAAAAATACTAATTTTTGCAGCCGAAATTGTATCATATTCTGTATCTAGGATAGTTTTATGAAAAAACAATTCCTGGCTGCAGACAAAATAAAGCAAAAGTGCTGATGCATCATATTGGAAGAATACTTTCAAAAGTGTAAGCTTTTTTCCAAATTTTAAAAATATGATTGGAGTATATCATATAATTGTAAAATGGACTCTATTGCTGAAGTTAAAGCAAGCCATATCATTTTTGAATAGTCAAGAAGCTTTTTATATTAAACATCAGACTCTTCCCAAAATTGCTTACGGCTTATTATTCGAACTATGAAATGACTAAAATATATCATATTTCCAAGTCCATTTCCTCTTTTTTAACTAATTTTATCATTCAAAAATACGAGGGGATAATTATGTTAGTAATTTAATTTCCAAATGATGGATAACAGGACGAACAAAACAAATGAAAAGTAGGCATAGATAAACTACTGATAACTATTGCAATATTATTTTTTTAAAAGAACCCTACATTTCAGTAAGAATACATAGTAATATTAATACAATATCTAAAGGTTATTAAACCAATATCTGACAGCAGAGTCGTAGCTAGGGTTTTCAGCACCCAGGGACAACTGAAGATTTTGCGCCCCCTACTGCTTGCCAAGGATGGAAAACATTTAATTCTAAAATGTCGTAACATCAGTTTGGCGCCCCTTGGTTTCTGCGCCCGGGGACAGATGCCCCCTTCTCTAGCTATGCCCCTGTCTGACAGTAATTGAGCTGGACACATTGTGCTTCAACTCAATTACCTTATAGAGCTCCAGGGGCACCTCACATGAATGAGTCTTGACTGCAGTTTCCAACAGGGAAGAATGTAGAAGTGGAAGTGAATAAAGGACTAGAGTTGGAAAGATCGAATACATAAGCAGTAGATAAGGTTACAATGAGCTGAAACATAAATAACAGAAGTAAATGAAATCACAAATTTGGACTTTCTTGAGTGTGAGAAAAACTGTCATGTCCAGCAACAACACAACAAAAAAAAAAAAAAAAATTACTTAAGAAAAAAAAAATCTGCATAAAATATGTTTGAAATAATAAACGAAATGGAAAATAAAATAAATGAAATGCTAACACTAAAATGAAAATATAAACTGAATACACTGGAATGAAAATAATCAAGGGAACGCAATTTACCAATAAATTAGCTCTCAGAAGGAAAAACTATGTAAAAAGAAACAGGAAATTCCACTAATACTTTTGAAATTTTCAGAACCTAGAGCTAAAAAGCTGGGGAAGGGGAGAATATGCAAGGAAAGCTAGTAAATAAGTGTTAGTAATTATGACTTACATATTAATTGAACTAGAAGCTGTATTAAACCGCATTTGATAAAACATGCATGTTGCAACCAGATTCCAAGACATTCTCTTGAGTAGATCTTTCAGTTTTGTGTGTAAATTGACACCTTTTCTATTATGTCAACCAAAATCTGCATTAGTATTATCTGCCGATAATGGGAGAACTTAAATTTTTTTCACAAAAAAAATTTGTTTCCTTTTTTTAAAAATAATTTGGTAGCACAGTCCATATTTCTAAACCTCTGATTAAGACCAACTATGTGGAAAACGAATGTATCCTCCAAAATTGTTATTTTTTTCATTCAATTCAAAACTATCAGCTTTAAAAAAGATAGTTACTTTGCAGTGCTGAGACAAAGATGAGGCCTCAGGTGAACATTTAGAAAAAATCTAACATGTACATCACATGACATCCTTGAACGGAAGACTGATTTTACGCATTTTTTCGTGCATTTCATTTAAACTTACTTCCTCGAATTTCATTACATAAGTTTCCCATTTTATTAATTCAGTTCACTTCGCAAAAGGCAAAAATACATAAAACTCAAAATATCTTTATTAAAAATTGAAAAATATAGAAAAATAAAAAACATCAAATACAGTTAAAAACAATTAAAAAAAGTTTTTATAATTAAAATTCGAGTTTCTACTCAAAAACAAGCAATTCGGTTAGCGGGCAAGAAGGTAGATTTTTCGATGCACAAAACTGAAAGTTTACTTTTGGTCCCACTCGGCAAAACGACAGTGAAGGTGCAGAAACTGGCTTTTATTCTGCTGTTTCAAATGTAAACAAATATCGCTGCTATGGTAAAAATTTCGCTTAGCCGCACTTACACAATTTTTAAATTGTTCATGATTCCACAATTATTGCATGCAGATTAACTAATAGCTTAGAAACCTTTATTGCATGCAGATTAACTAATAGCTTAGAAACCTTAACCGGAAGATAACAAAATAATTCATTCATTTTTAAAGCAAAAAATGCACACTTTAACAACTTATAAGAATAAAATAAACCGAACTCATTAAGCCGAGTAATATACAGTGGCTCCCAAAAGTGTTCCTACACTTATGATTTTCATAGAAACAGGTCTGAATCCATTAATTAAAAGTAAACTTTCTGAATAAGATTTTAATAATAAGATCTATAATATCTTCGTAACAAAATTACATGAAATATTTTTTAAATATAGCGAAACTTTATTTTTAAGAAATTAATAATCAAAAAATGACAAACATTTTATCTCACAAAAGTCTTCGTAAACTTAAAAAAAATCTTGACATATTAGTAAATATTTTCATTTTTCGTTAAATCAATATTAGTAGGATATCCTTTAACATCCACAACAGCTTTTAAAAGTCTGGGAATAGATTTTACTAGTGTTTTTTTTTTTTTTTTTTTTTTTTTTTTTTTTAATTTCTGTATCAACGTTCATCAATTCTTCCATCATGGCTGTTTTGAGTTCGCTTTTCGTTTTGATGTCGTGTTTTCGTACTCTAACCTCCAGCTCTTCAAAACCTGTGGGCAATTACAGAGACATTACAGGCGAACGTTGAGAGCATACTTAGGTTCGTTATTATGATTAAAAATAAAGTTGTTTCCAATACCCAAATTTTGGGCTGATAATTTTAAATTCTCTCTTAAAATATTTAAATAAAGAGAATGATTCATTATGCCATCAATAAATACCAAATTACCTAGTCCTGATGCTGTCATATCATATACCCCCCCCCCCCCCGTCCACATAAGAACACCTCCACCGCCATGTTTAACTGTTCCAACTAAGTTCTTAGAATGAAGGTCCTCATTTTTTCTTCTCCATACAGTTATTCGACCATCGGAACCAAAAATATTAAATATGCTTTCATCAGCAAATAGGACATTATTCCAGTACGTTTCGGGTGTATTTATCATTGATTGTGCAAATGAAAGCCTAAGCCTGCTGTTTTTCTCATTAACAAAATTCTTTTTACGGGTAGAACGACCATGTAATCCAGCTTCTCTAAGAACTCGTCGAACAGTTTAAGATGAAACTGAAGTAGAAAACTTTGCATTAAATTCTGCTGAAACTTTTACAGTACTCAAACGTGGGTTTTTCACAAATTTTCTAATAATAAATCTCTCATCACGTTTAGTTAACGTTCTCGGTCGACCCTTTTCTTACCTTGTTTTCAATCCGATTTTCTTCTAAAGCGTTTTATCACATACTGCACTGTAGAATGCTATAAATTAACTAATTTAGCGATATTTCAAATTGATTTACTACTACTATGGTGAAAAATGGTCAATTTTCGAATGCTGTTTGTAATTTCTTACCGACTGCGACCCATTTTTTTTTTTTTTTTTAGAATATTATGAAGTAAACAATAAAAAATTAAAGCAAACGATTTTTTGAATGCCACCACAATGCAAAAATTAAAAAAAGCGGCAAACGATAATTCTAATTTTGATTTTATCCAAAAATATTTCAGTGTACGAAGACTTTTGTGAGATAAAATGTTTATGATTTTTTTATTATTAATTTCTTAAAAATAAAGTTTCGCTATATTTTAAAATATTTCATGTAATTTTGTTACAAATAGATTATAGATCTTATTATTAAAATTTCATTCAGAAAGTTTACTTTTATTTAATGGATAATGCCCTATTTCATTGAAAATCATAAGTGTATGAACCCTTTTGGGAGCCACTGTATATGCTGTGGCGGATTGAAACCAAAAAGGAAGGTGCACAATTACATGTTATGGCAGTCCTATTTACAAAACTTCAGCCTGCTGAGGCTACTCGTTTTTGAGTTACACGAGATACATATATACACGTACGTACAAACATCACCAAAAAACTCTCTTCTGAATTTATTTTATATCCTTTTTGCAACCCGTGTTGGGAAAGAGAGTCCATTACTTTGTCCTTACGCACAGATATCACACAAAAACATCGTTAAATTGCATTCTATAGCGGTCAAAATGTATATTTTCGTTGAAACATGATACCCGTAAGTATATATATATGTGTGTGTGTGTTAAAAACAAACTCAGAAGTAGTAACTAGCAGAACTTTTGATGGTGTAGAAGTATTAATTCATAATGAATAGGAAATTGGAAGCGAAGGCAGATTAAATCTTCATTTTTTATTTCAGCAAACATGTTTTGGACAAAATCAAATTGCACATTAATTGCGCCTATTCCAAAAGGTTTACATTTTTGATAACTTTGCAGCAAGAATGAAGCAGCAGACAGACAGCAGTTGAAAGCAAGAACATTATGTTCAGGGTGAAATCTTAATTCGGACTGATTTAGTTTTGGTTCTCAGTGCATTTTGATTGGATAGTTAATATAGCTGTAAAATTACAGTTGACAGTTGAAAGCAAGTGTGTTATGTTCAGGGTGAAATCTAAATTCAGACTGATTTAGTTTTGGTTCTCAATACATTTTGATTGGATAGTTAATACAGTACAAAGTCTTTAATCCGGAAGTCCATAATCCGGAATGATCTATAATCCGGACCTCAAAGCTACAGACTTTCTGCGCATGCGTAGCGTTTACGCATGCGAATATGCGTTTACGCATGCGCATAATACGTTTACGCATGCACGTTTAATGTATAACGGACGGTATAAGCTAGGTTAAAATTTTCTAATTATCTATTTCAGTTAATGTTGCAGATTGCGCTGTTCTTTAATCTTCTAATTGGATCCGGCTTATTATTTTTTGCAGACTGTTAGAGCAATTTTATAAAAAGTAAGCTTGAATTTTCGATTATGTCAAAAAGAGTTTCCGATTCTGCAGCTGCCAAAGGATCTACAAAGCGAAAGCATGTTTCGATGTCCATCAAACAAAAAGTAGAATTGCTGCAAAAAATGGATAAAGGCATGAAGAAAGTGACAGAGAGGTTAGTGAAAACGAAAAATTTCGATTTGCAAGTTAGTCGGTATTCTCGGCACAGCAATTACAGGACTTGAACAACGGAACTTTGTAACTGCACAAGAAATTATGTCTGTTTATAGAATTAAAGAGGAAGTATTAGCACATAAAACGAAGCAACTTACGTTGAAAGAAATGTTTAATAAAGTAAACAAATAAATATTAAGCTTTTTTTTGTAAATTTTGATACCCTTTAGATCATAATTGCTCTTATTTCATAAATAAGTACGGTTTCATATTTTTTAATTTTATAATTTCTTTCTGCCATCCATCTTACCAGATTTAAACTGATGATCTATAATCCGGAAAAACACCTAATCCGGAATCGCCGAAGTCCCGACGTGTCCGGATTAAAGACTTTGTACTGCATAACTGTAAAATTACTATTGGCTGCTTGAGATTTAATTGTTCCATTTACATCACCAGAATTATGTAATGACATAGATTAGTTTCGAAATGGCTCAGTGCAAATAGAAGTTACTATCTTTAGAATTGAAAAGGGAAATTTACGTAGCTAATTTAATCTTTTATTATTGTTTATTTTTCTTAAATATATGTATATATACTTTTGATGCGGCCGATTGCAACGAAATGGGGAGGTGCAAAACTACGTGTTATAGGAGGCCTATATACAAAATTTCAACGTTCCGAAGCTACTCGTTTTTCAGTTAGGCGAGATACATACATACATACACGCACAGGCACAGACGTCACGAAAAAAAACTCTTCTGAATCAATTTTAAATCAATTTTTCCTTTGGGAAAAAGAGTCCTTTATTCTGTTCTTATGCAAAGATGTTATGCAAAAACATCATTAAACTGCATTCGATAGCAGTCAAAATAGATATTTTCGTTAAAATATGATACCCGAAAATTTTCGCGATTTCAATACTTCCTTTACTTCGTACAAGGAAGTAAAAAAACACAAAATTGTTGCGAAATTTTAGAAATGTATTTCAAAAATAAATTATTGTTATTAACTTTCAGTTTTGATACTTATTGAGCAGCACCATTGTAAAAGAATAAATTTAAATAAAAAAAAATACACTATATTCTTAGCACTTGTGCAATTCGCAAGCTTTTTGTAAAACAATAAATTTAAATCGGTAAAAATACACTATATTCTAGGCACTTGTGCAACTCGCAAGCTTTTTTAGTTATTATTTCATTAGAGTTAGTTCATTTTATAGTTGAATGGAGTTGAATAGTGATGTTGTTGATTTAGCTAGTTTTGCCATTTTGCAAATAGCGGATTCATATTGCAATCGAATTTTTTTAGAATTTTCTTAGCTCAGTGCTACCCTCGGGTATCACTATGAGTTACTCTTTTAGTGGACGATCGGACTTACAGGAGGACAGCGACTATGCGGAATCGGATGTTTCTTTTACTATTGGATTACTAGCAGAT